ACTTCTGACCCACTGGAAATGTGATGAAATAAATAAATGCTGAAATAAATCATTCTCTCTACTATTATTCTGACATTTCACATTCTTAAAATAAAGTGGTGATCCTAACTGACCTAAGACAGGGAATTTTTACTAGGATTAAATGTCAGAAATTGTGAAAAGCTGAGTTTAAATGTATTTGGCTAAGGTGTATGTAAACTTCCGACTTCAACTGTACAAATAAAGTGGCTGAAACAGTATGTACATAGGGCAGCAGTCTCTAAGGTGACTAAGGTTCAGGGTACTGGGTGGAGGCCGGCTAGTGGTGACTGTTTAACAGTCTGATGGCCTGGAGATAGATGCTGTTTCTCAGTCTCTCGGTCCCAGCTTTGATGCACCTGTACTGTCTCCGCCTTCTAGATGGTAGTGGGGTGAACAGGTCGTGGCTCGGGTGGCTGAGGTCCTTGATGATCTTCTTGGCCTTCCTGTGACACCGGGTGCTGTAGATGTCCTGGAGGGCAGGCAGTCTGCCCCTGGTGACTTACTTTCTGGACAGTAGAGGACTAATGTCACCAGATCAAAGTCGTTTCAGGAAAGACTGACTTACTTTCTGGACAGTAGAGGACTAATGTCACCAGATCAAAGTCGTTTCAGGAAAGACTGACTTACTTTCTGGACAGTAGAGGACTAATGTCACCAGATCAAAGTCGTTTCAGGAACGACTGACTTACTTTCTGGACAGTAGAGGACTAATGTCACCAGATCAAAGTCGTTTCAGGAACGACTGACTTACTTTCTGGACAGTAGAGGACTAATGTCACCAGATCAAAGTCGTTTCAGGAAAGACTTACTTTCTGGACAGTAGAGGACTAATGTCACCAGATCAAAGTCGTTTCAGGAAAGACTTACTTTCTGGACAGTAGAGGACTAATGTCACCAGATCAAAGTCGTTTCAGGAAAGACTTACTTTCTGGACAGTAGAGGACTAATGTCACCAGATCAAAGTCGTTTCAGGAACGACTGACTTACTTTCTGGACAGTAGAGGACTAATGTCACCAGATCAAAGTCGTTTCAGGAAAGACTGACTTACTTTCTGGAGAGTAGAGGACTAATGTCACCAGATCAAAGTGGGTTCAGGAAAGTGGCGCAGTGGTCTAAGGCACTGCATCGCAGTGTTAACTGTGCCACTAGAGATCCTGGTTCGAATCCAGGCTCTGTCGCAGCCGGCCGCGACCGGGAGACTCATGGGCACTCATGGGCACAATTGGCCCAGCGTCGTCTAGGGTAGGGGAGGGAATGGCCGGCAGGGATGTAGATCAGTCGATAGAGCATGACGTTTGCAACGCCAGGGTTGTGGGTTCGATTCCCACGGGGGGCCAGTATAAAAAGAAAAATGTATTCACTAACTGTAAGTCGCTCTGGATAAGAGCGTCTGCTAAATGACTAAAATGTAAATGATGTAAATGAAAGGCAGGGGAACGATGAATCCTGTACATTTACATTTACATTTACGTCATTTAGCAGACGCTCTTATCCAGAGCGACTTACAAATTGGTGCATTCACCCTATAGCCAGTGGGTTAACCACTTTACAATACATTTTTTTTGTATTTTGTATTTTTTTTTGGGGGGGGGGGGGGGGGGGGGGGTAGAAGGATTACTTTATCCTATCCCAGGTATTCCTTAAAGAGGTGGGGTTTCAAATGTCTCCGGAAGGTGGTGAGTGACTCCGCTGTCCTGGCGTCGTGAGGGAGCTTGTTCCACCATTGGGGTGCCAGAGCAGCGAACAGTTTTGACTGGGCTGAGCGGGAACTATGCTTCCGCAGAGGAAGGGGAGCCAGCAGGCCAGAGGTGGATGAACGCAATGCCCTCGTTTGGGTGTAGGGACTGATCAGAGCCTGAAGGTACGGAGGTGCCGTTCCCCTCACTGCTCCATAGGCAAGCACCATGGTCTTGTAACGGATGCGAGCTTCAACTGGAAGCCAGTGGAGTGTGCGGAGGAGGGGGGTGACGTGAGAGAACTTGGGAAGGTTGAACACCAGACGGGCTGCGGCATTCTGGATGAGTTGTAGGGGTTTAATGGCACAGGCAGGGAGCCCAGCCAACAGCGAGTTGCAGTAATCCAGACGGGAGATGACAAGTGCCTGGATTAGGACCTGTGCCGCTTCCTGTGTAAGGCAGGGTCGTACTCTCCGAATGTTGTAGAGCATGAACCTGCAGGATTGGGTCACCGCCTTGATGTTAGCGGAGAACGACAGGGTGTTGTCCAGGGTCACGCCAAGGCTCTTCGCACTCTGGGAGGAGGACACAACGGAGTTGTCAACCGTGATGGCGAGATCATGGAACGGGCAGTCCTTCCCCGGGAGGAAGAGCAGCTCCGTCTTGCCAGGGTTCAGCTTGAGGTGGTGATCCGTCATCCATACTGATATGTCGGCCAGACATGCAGAGATGCGATTCGCCACCTGGTTATCAGAAGGGGGAAAGGAGAAGATTAGTTGTGTATCGTCAGCGTAGCAATGATAGGAGAGGCCATGTGAGGATATGACAGAGCCAAGTGACTTGGTGTATAGGGAGAAAAGGAGAGGGCCTAGAACTGAGCCCTGGGGGACACCAGTGGTGAGAGCACGTGGTGCGGAGGCAGCTTCTCGCCACGCCACTTGGTAGGAGCGACCGGTCAGGTAGGACGCAATCCAGGAGTGAGCCGCGCTGGAGATGCCCAGCTCGGAGAGGGTGGAGAGGAGGATCTGATGGTTCACAGTATCAAAGGCAGCAGATGTGCCACCAGCACTGTACTGTGCCTTGAGTCAGTCATACGGAAGGCACAGGCAAATAAGGAGGTGGTGGTAGCCGTTTCCTTTGATGTAGAGAAGGCTTATGATACGATGTGGAAGGAAGGAAGGCCTACTTATCAAGCTGGATAACATAGGGGTTGGAGGAAGGGTTTTTAACTGGATAAAGGATTTTCTTTTTGGCCGATCAATAGAAGTGAGGGTGGGGAGCTCTGTGTCCGAAAGCTATGAGGTGGATAATGGTACCCCTCAGGGAAGTGTCATTAGTCCTTCGTTGTTCTCCATTACGATTGATGATGTATTCTCTCAGGTGAGACCGGATATTGGGAGGTCATTGTTTGCGGATGATGGAGCGCTGTGGAAGAGAGGGAGAAATATTACCCATAGAGCCAGAAGAGTTCAAGAAGCGATTAGTGAAGTAGAGCAGTGGTCCCTCAGGTGGGGCTTCAAGTTTTCAGTTGAGAAAAAACTGACTGTGGTTTTTTTCTAGAAGGAAGATTGTGAAGGAAATATACTTGAAGTTGGAAGGAAGGAATCTGGAGAGGATGGGAGGGTTTAGGTTCGTGGGGGTCTGGTTTGACACTCGAATGGCATGGGCAGAGCATATTAACAGAGTAGTTGTCAAAGGAAAGGAAATATTGAATGTGATGCGTTGCTTGTCAGAAATGGAGTGGGGGGGGGGGGGGGGGGGGGGGCAGATAGAATGGCGTTGAACATGATATATATATATACAGTATATAGCGCTGTTAAGGTCATCACCGGTTTATGGAAGTATAGCATTTGGATCAGCAGCTCAGACATCTTTAAAAAAGCTAGATGTTATCCAGGCCCAAGCCCTAAGAATACGTTGTGGAGCACTCAGGACCTCCCCGATGGCAGCGATGCAGGTAGAGTTTGGAGAGATGCCGTTAAAGTTAAGTAGACAACAGCTAGCCGTGACATATTGGGTAAATCTACAAGGACATCAGGTTACACATCCTACAAAAAAAGGTGCTCCTAGAGTTTCTGGGAACATGAACAAGATCTCAATACAAGCTTTGGGTGGATAGGCAATTGCATGGCGAGAGAGATGGGGTTGTTTGGGAGGGAGTTTAGCCCCTCTGTGGTTCTTCCTGCTATCCCACCTTGGGTTCTCCCTCAACCAGTGATAGATCTAGGGTTGCTTGAGAGGGTAAGAGATTCAGTTGTAAGCGAACATTTAAGAACACAAGACTATGCTTTCTTGAATACATTCACAGATGGATCTAAGGGACCCTAAAACGGGGAGGACAGGAGCAGCTTTTAGTGTTCCTGAGTTTAAGGAGGCAGTGACGAAAAGAGAGCAACGGATCATTTATCTGTTTACACAACGGGAGTTGCTGACCGTACTATTGGCTGCAGAGTGGGTGGAGGAGGTGTGGCCAGACAGGGTGGTCATCTGCTCTGACTCCTTGTGCAGCACTGATGAGCTTAAATTCATGTGTGTCTCAGAGCAGACAGGATGTATTGTATGAGGTTTGTATAGGGTGAAACAGATGGGGGGGGGGGGGGGGGTATTTGTGATGTTCCTCTGGGCACCAGCTCATGTGGGGAGTAGAGGGGAATGAGGAAGTGGATATTATTGCCAAGCAGGCTCTTAAACATCCTAATGTTGAGATGGAATTGTCAAATCAGTAAAGCAGAAGCCAAGGGATTAATAAGAACAGTGGTTAAAAAAAAGTGGCAAGAGTTGTGGAACAGGGAGAGCGAGGGAAGACACCTGTATAAGATCCAGGAAAAGGTGGGGGCAGGGAGGTCCTCAGGCCGAGAGAGAAGGGAGGACAGTGTAGTCACAAGGCTCAATAGTACATTGGAAGTGGTGGGGAAACATCCGACTGGGAGGTGTGATCATTGTCAGGAGGAGATGGAGACAGTGGAACATGTTCTATTTCAGTGCCAGAAATATGTGAGAGAAAGGGAGCGATTGTTATTAGATTTGAGGAGTAATTGGGTTGAAGAGCCAGGATTAAGTGATCTGCTGGGGAAATCTTCAGGGGATGTAGTATTTAATTATGTATTTCGTTTCCTTAGGGAGACGAGATTATTGGGTAGGATTTTAGACCTTCACGGTCTCTGGTCCACACTCCAGTCCAGTTGGTGGCGGTAATGCACCATAAAGTTGGTTGCCAACCGCCATATAAAATCCACAGAAGAAGAAGAAGAAGAAGCAGAAGAAGGAGGTGACATCACCAAACGGAACTTTCAGAATCAAAACAATGGCCGACTGGAGCTAGCTAGTTTTCTTTTAACATGAATGCTATTTTCAACTGTAGATTTACAGGTAGGCATTATTTTAAAGACAATATCAGTGTTATGAGCAAACGATTCACCAAAGTGTACATTACGAGCAAGAAACTAGCTGTTTGTGGCCTGCTTTGAGCGTCGCCATGAGTGATGTTGTCGAGAAGACTCTGTCTGCTCTCCCGAGTCTCCTTTCGCTAGACTCGCAGGCAGGAGCTGGGAAACTTTCCCCCTCCTCCAAATTAGGGAACCTGATCAAGGGAATCACTGAACTGACGTCCAAACATGTGAGTACCGTAGCCAGCTCTCTGGCACATTATGGTCAGCATCGCTGACAGCAGTAGCTAACATTAGGTGGCTAGCTGTCTGTAATAATAATAATAATAATGTACCCTTTCTCTACAATTTGTGGTGTATTAGCTAGTGCCCACAGCCAACGTTAGCTGGCTAGCCACAATTAACCACCCTGAAACAAAACTGTAATTATTTACTAGTGTCCACTGATCCCCAAAATTATCCTTAACTTCAAGCCTATGCCGTATTGACCTATGCTTGAGACTGACAGCCTATTTGATATTGATGTATTAGGATTCCCATTAGCTGACGCCAGTGGCGACAGCTTGTCTTACTGGGGTCCGACACGTAACGAAAAAGACAATGCAGACAAAATACTTTACAATTTACATTAAAAACATTAACGTTGCGTGTATCTATCAGTTACACATACATGTCTTTGCAGCACTTGACCATATGAATGGACAATAATCAAGGAAAGATAAAAACTAGAGCCTGCAGGACTTGCTTTGTGGAGTGTGGTGTCAAAAAAGCAGAGTATCTCTTTATTACGCACAGACCTCTCCCCATCTTTACATCCATTGAATCTATATGTTTTGACCATGACAGTTTACAAATCAAATCACATTTTATTGGTCACATAGACATATTTAGCAGATGTTATTGCAGGTGTAGTGAGGTAACACCAAGTAATTAAGTCTCCTCAACTAGTTCAACAGCCACACCATTCATTACCAGATTCAGCTGAGGTCTAGAATTTAGGGAATGATTTGTACCAAATACAATGCTCTTAGTTTTAGAGATGTTCAGGACCAGTTTATTACCGGCCACCCATTCCAAAACACACTGCAGCTCTTCTTTAAGGGAAAGGAAAGGGGGATACCTAGTCAGTTGTACAATTGAATGCATTCAACTGAAATGTGTCTTCCACATTTAACCCAACCCTCTCTGAATCAGAGAGGTGCGGGGGGGCTGCCTTGATCGACATCCACGTCATCGGCGGCCGGGGAACAGTGGGTTAACTGCCTTGCTCAGGGGTTTCAGGGACTTCCTTAGCTGTAGTTGCTGATGCGTATATATTTTTAACATCACCTACATAAGAGTCACAGCAAAAGCTTTTGTGTGATCTCTTATACACTATTTTAGGCCCAGCTTTTGGAACTTTGGCTTTCCTGGATATAGCCACTATATTGTGATCACTGCATCCAATGGGTACGGATACAGCTTCAGAACAAAGTTCTACAGTATTAGTAAAAATGTGATCAATACATGTGGATGATCTTGTTCCTGTAGTGTTTGTGAACACCCTGGTAGGTTGATTAATAACCTGAACCAGATTACAGGCACTGGTTACGGTGAGAAGCTTCCTCTTGAGCGGACAGCTTGATGAAAACCAGTCAATATTCAGGTCCCCAAGAAAGTAGACCTCTCTGTTTACATCACATACACTATCAAGCATTTCACACATATTATTTAGACACTGGCTGTTAGCACTTGGTGGCCTATAGCAACACCCCCAAAGAAAAGGATTTGATTGTGCCAGGTGAACCTGCAACCACAACACTTCAATAACACTTGACAAAATAACTTCTCTAAGTATTACAGGGAAATGGCTCTGAATATATACAGCAGCACCTCCACCATAAGCATTTCTGTCTCTTCTGTAGATGTTATATCCTTGTATTGCTACTGCTGTATCATCAAATGAATTATCTAAGTGAGTCTCAGAAATGGCTAATATATGAATGTTCTCTGATGTTAGCAAGTTATTGATTTCATGAACCTTATTTCTAAGGCTACATATATTAATATGGGCTATTTTCAGCCCTTTCCCGGGTAGTTGATCAGTGATAGACATAATATAGAAAAGAGCAAACGAAGCCCAGAGCCAATGCAGGTCCACTACACCTGGTCCTCACTCTATACACTCTATATACTCTCTATATACTCATTCCTATTGTCTTTCTTTCCAGGAGGAGGAAAAGCTTATTAAAAAGGAACTGGCTGCTATCAAGGAGCAGGTAGCATCTCCCAACACCTCCATGGTAAGTCTCACTTCATCTTCCCGCCAGAAAGCGACACAGAGAGGCATTGCGACGTGTCCGTCAAAATATCTAATCATGCTGAGACTGTTTTGTTTTCGTTCATTTACTTGTATTATATGTGGACTATGTTACTTGCAGCGTCTTTCTTAATAATTGCACCAGAGGGGGAACTGAACACTGTATTTTAACACTGTATTGAATTGAATATTTGGACATTCTTCTCAGTCAAATGGTTGCCACATGAAGTAATGTTGATGTATAATAATGTAATTTCAGCGTCAGATGAAGGAAATAATGGTGAGAGCTATCTACTGTGAGATGCTGGGTTACCAGGCGTCCTTCAGTTACATCCACGCCATCAAACTGGCTCAGCAGGGCAGTGTCCTAGAGAAGAGAGTGGGTACGTCCATACATATTCATAGGATGGGTACGAGCCATACATATTCATAGGATGGGTACGAGCCATACATATTCATAGGATGGGTACGTACCATACATATTCATAGGATGGGTACGAGCCATACATATTCATAGGATGGGTACGTTTCATACATATTCATAGGATGGGTACGAGCCATACATACATATTCATAGGATGGGTACGAGCCATACATACATATTCATAGGATGGGTACGAGCCATACATACATATTCATAGGATGGGTACGAGCCATACATATTCATAGGATGGGTACGAGACATACATATTCATAGGATGGGTACGAGCCATAGACATACATATTCATAGGATGGGTACGAGCCATAGACATACATATTCATAGGATGGGTACGAGCCATACATATTCATAGGATGGGTACGAGCCATACATACATATTAATAGGATGGGTACGAGCCATAGACATACATATTAATAGGATGGGTACGAGCCATAGACATACATATTCATAGGATGGGTACGAGCCATACATATTCATAGGATGGGTATGAGCCATACACCTACAGTACCAGTCAAAAATGTGGACACACCTACTCATTCAAGGGTTTTTCTTTATTTGTACTATTTTCTACATAGCATAATGAAGACATCAAAACAATGAAATAACACATATGGAATCATGTAGTAACCAAAAAAGTGTTAAACAAATCAAAATATATTTGAGATTCTTCAAAGTAGCCACCCTTTGCCTTGATGACAGCTTTGCACACTCTTGGCATTCTCTCAACCAGCTTCATGAGGTAGTCACCTGGAATGCATTTCAATTAACAGGAGCGCCTTGTTTTAAAGTTAATTTGTGGAATTTCTTTCCTTCTTAATGCGTTTGAGCCAATCAGTTGTGTTGTGACAAGGTAGGGGTGGTATACAGAAGATAGCCCTATTTGGTAAAAGACCAAGTCCATATTATGGCAAGAACAGCTCAAATAAGCAAAGAGAAACGTCAGTCCATCATTACTTTAAGACATGAAGGTCAGTCAATACGGAACATTTCAAGAACTTTGAAAGTTTCTTTAACTGCAGTCGCAAAAACCATCAAGCGCTATGATGAAACTGGCTCTCATGACGACCGCCACAGGAAACGAAGACCCAGAGTTACCTCTGCTGCAGAGGATACGTTCATTAGAGTTAACTGCACCTCAGAAATTGCAGCCCAAATAAATGCTTCACAGAGTTCAAGTAACAGACACATCTCAACGTCAACTGTTCAGAGGAGACTGCGTGAATCAGGCACTCATGGTTGAATTGCTGCAAAGAAACCACTACTAAAGGACACCAATAAGAAGAGACCTGCTTGGGCCAAGAAACACGAGCAATGGACATTAGACCGGTGGAAGTCTGTCCTTTGGTCTGATGAGTCCAAATTTGAGATTTTAGGTTCCGCCGTGTCTTTGTGAGACACAGAGTAAGTGAATGGATGATCTCTGCATGTGTGGTTCCCACCGTGAAGCATGGAGGAGGTGGTTTGATGGTGTGGGGGTGCTTTGCTGCTGACACTGTCAGTGATTTATTTAGAATTCAAGGCACACTTAACCAGTATGGCTACCACAGCATTCTGCAGCGATACGCCATCCCATCTGGTTTGTGCTTAGTGGGACTATCATTTGTTTTTCAACAGGACAATGACTCAAAACACACCTCCAGGCTGTGTAAGGGCTATTTGACCAAGGAGAGTGATTGAGTGCTGCATCAGATAACCTGGCCTCCACAATCACCCGACCTCAACCCATTTGAGATGGTTTGGGATGAGTTGGACCGCAGAGTGAAGGAAAAGCAGCTAACAAGTGCTCAGCATATGTGGGAACTCCTTCAAGACTGTTGGAAAAGCATTCCTCATTAAGCTGGTTGAGAGAATGCCAAGAGTGTGCAAAGCTGTCATCAAGGCAAAGGGTGGCTACTTTGAAGAATCTCAAATATAAAATATATTTTGATTTGTTTAACACTTTTTTGGTTACTACATGATTCCATATGTGTTATTTCATAGTTTTGATGTCTTCACTATTATTCTACAATGTAGAAAATAGTAAAAATAAAGAAAAACCCTTGAATGAGTAGATGTGTCAACTTTTGACTGGTACTGTACATATTCATAAGATGGGTACGTTCCGTAGACATACATATTCATAGGATGTTATGTGCTCATGATATTTACATACAGCATCGGTATGTTATATTCTCCTTTTATTTTTTTAAATCATTTGATTTGGTAACGATTCAGAAAGCCTAACCTGCTGTAACACATTTATTAAAATGCAAACTATTTTTAAATGTGTCCAATAGTTCTGTTGATTTCATCTGTGTTTCCAGGTTACCTTGCTGTGTCCTTGTTCCTTAACGAAACGGATGAGTTTCTGCTTCTCCTGGTGAACACCGTCTTAAAGGTGCATTTTTTCTCAACCCTGATTTGTGTCGTTGGGGTTTCCAGTTGTTGAATGCAAGACATTTACATTTTACATTTGAGTCATTTTAGCAGACGCTCTTATCCAGAGCGACTTACAGGAGCAATTAGGGTTAAGTGCCTTGCTCAAGGGCACATCGACAGATTATTCACCTAGTCGGCTCGGGGGATTAGAACCAGCGACCTTTCGGTTACTGGCACAACGCTCTTAACCACTAAAGCTACCTGCCGCAAGATGTGTTGTTGTTGTTGTTCTAAAAACGTGTTGTTTTGACAGGATCTGCAGAGTACCAACCTGATCGACGTGTGCATGGCTCTAACTGTGGTCAGTCAGGTGTTTCCCAGAGACATGATACCTGCCATCCTACCAGTGGTGGAGGAAAAACTCACACATCCAAAGTGAGCACTTGGACTTGATTATTACACACAGATCCTTATACACTTTATGGGCAAACGAGACTTAAATTTGCAGTGGGTCGTTTGGTTTGGTATGTGTGTGTGTGTGTGTGATCTCTGAAGGCATTGAACCTACAACCTTTGCTGTTGCTTGACTTGATTATTTCACACAGATCCTTATACACTTTATGGGCAAACGAGACTTAAATTTGCAGTGGGTCGTTTGGTTTGGTATGTGATCTCTGAAGGCATTGAACCTACAACCTTTGCTGTTGCTTGTGTTCTGACAACGCTCTGATTTTAGGACCCTTTACCCCCCATTTTTCATCTGTCCACAGGGAGATCATCCGGAGGAAAGCAGTCCTGGCTCTGTACAAGTTCTACCTCATCGCGCCCAACCAGGTGCAGCACATCCACAGCAAGTTCCGGAAGGCCCTGTGTGACAAAGACCCGGGAGTCATGGCAGCCTCTCTACACATCTACCTGCAGCTCATCAAGGTTACCTTCTGTCACAATGGCATCATTTCTTAAATCCATATCATTGGAGAAAAAAAAGACTTGCCTTTATAAATCTTGGTTTATCAAAAAGTCTTAACAGCAGCACCCAGCTACAGTGGAATTGTTCTACCAATTCATTTCCCCCCCCCCATTGATTACATAAATCGCTAACATTTTGTTTTAGTTGTGCCACTTAAGTACAGACTATACAGTCGTGGTCCAAAGTTTTTGAGAATGACGCAAGTATTGATCTTCACAAAGTTCGCTGCTTCAGTGTTTTTAGATATTTTTTGTCAGATGTTGCTATGGTATACTGAAGTATAATTACAAGCATTCCATAAGTGTCAAAGGCTTTTTATTGACAATTACATTAAGTTTATGCAAAGAGTAAATATTTGCAGTGTTGACCCTTCTTTTTCAAGACCTCTGCAATCCACCCTGGCATGCTGTCAATTCACTTCTGGGTCACATCCTGACTGATGGCAGCCCATTCTTGCATAATCAATGCTAGGAGTTTGTCAGAATTTGTGGGTTTTTGTTTGTCCACCCGCCTCGAGGATTGACCACAAGTTCTCAATGGGATTAAGGTCTGGGGAGTTTCCTGGCCATGGACCCAAAATGTTGATGTTTTGTTCCCCGAGCCACTTAGTTATCACTTTTGCCTAATGGCAAGGTGCTCCATCATGCTGGAAAAGGCATTGGTCGTCACCAAACTGTTCTTGGATGGTTGGGAGAAGCTCTCGGAGGATGTATTGGTACCATTCTTTATTCATGGCTGTGTTCTTAGGCAAAATGGTGAGTGAGCCAACTCCCTTGGCTGAGAAGCAACCCCACACATGAATGGTCTCAGGATGCTTTACTGTTGGCATGACACAGGACTGATGGTAGGGCTCACCTTGTCTTCTCCGGACAAGCTTTTTTCCGGATGCCCCAAACAATCGGAAAGGGGATTCATCAGAGAAAATGACTTTACCCCAGTCTTCAGCAGTCCAATCCATGTACCTTTTGCAGAATATCAGTCTGTCCCTGATGTTTTTCCTGGAGAGAAGTGGCTTCCTCGCTGCCCTTCTTGACACCAGGCCATCCTCCAAAAGTCTTTGCCTCACTGTGCGTGCAGATGCACTCACACATGCCTGCTGCCATTCCTGAGCAAGCTCTGCACTGGTGGTGCCCCGATCCCGCAGCTGAATCAACTTTAGGAGACGGTCCTGGCACTTGCTGGACTTTCTTGGGCGCCCTGAAGCCTTCTTCACAACAATTGAACCTCTCTCCTTTAAGTTCTTGATGATCTGATAAATGGTTGATTTAGGTGCAATCTTACTAGCAGCAATATCCTTGCCTGTGAAGGTATTTTTGTGCAAAGCAATGACGGCGGCACGTGTTTCCTTGCAGGTAACCATGGTTAACAGAGGAAGAACAATGATTTCAAGCACCACCCTCCTTTTTAAAGCTTCCAGTCTGTTATTCTAACCCAATCAGCATGACAGAGTGATCTCCAGCCCTGTCCTCGTCAACACTCTCACCTGTGTTAACGAGAGAATCACTGACATGATGTCAGCTGGTCCTCTTGTGGCAGGGCTGAAATGCAGTGGAAATGTTTTTTGTGGGATTAAGTTCATTTTCATGACAAAGAGGGATTTTGCAATTAATTGCAATTCATCTGATCACTCTTCATAACATTCTGGAGTATATGGAAATTGCCATCATAAAAAACTGAGGCAGCAGACCACGTGAAAATGTAATATTCGCGTCATTCTCAAAGCTTTTTGACCACGACTGTACTAGCCAATGTCGTGTCCTGTAAGACTATAAGAATATATATGACTGTAAGCAACTTGCTCTTTCCCAATATCTCCAGGAGAACCCGGAGAGCTACAAGGATCTGACCGTGAGCATGGTGACCATCCTGGGACAGGTGGTAGGGGGTAAACTCCCCATGGACTTCAACTACCACAGCATTCCTGCTCCCTGGCTTCAGATACAGCTGCTCAGAATACTGGCCTACTTGGGGAAGGAAGACCAGGGGTACACAGTAACATGTCATATCCTTGTGTCCACTCATCCCCCTTCACATTCTGGTGTCACCTTTTATTGAGTAGAAATCTGGGCCAGTTACTCCTGCAATAAGAAGCACTTTCTACAGAGATTCTCCATGATGCTTTTTTAAAAAAAGTTCAGTTTAGGCTGAATCTGCGTCTGGGAGACTGACCCCTATAATCATTGTCTATTTAGGTTATAGAGTTTGTTGTTGTCTCGGAAGGGTCGTCTCTGGCAACTCCGTTTTCTATCTAAGCTGTTCCTCTGTTTTACAGAACTAGTGAGTTGATGTATGACGTGCTGGAGGACTCCTTAAGAAGAGCAGAGATGAACCACAACATGACTTACGGTATGTAACGTGTGGACATTACAGGGTGTGCTTGACATCTGCACATGGTTGCACATCCCTCATGCCTTTTGGTTTAACTTTCTTATTGGGGTTTTTTTTTTTTTTTTCAGCAATTTTATTTGAGTGTGTGAAGACAATCTTTACGGTTCATCCAAAGGCACAACTGTTGGAGAAAGCGGCGGAATGCATCGGGAACTTTGTCCTATCACCTAAGATCAACCTCAAGTATCTGGGTAAGAATCCTCCATGTTCAGCGTGGTCAGAAGTTAGGCCTAATCTTTTTAAATGATATTATAGTTAAGTGATCATCCAGTAGGTAATGTGGACTAAAAGGACATCATTAAAACCAGTTTACAACCACAACTGTTTGTACTTCAGTTGTATTGACGTCATTTAAAGAACTTGCCCGCTGGGCACTCCTATAGTGAGTAATAAATGTGTGTGGATCTCAGGTTTGAAGGCCCTGACGTATGTGGTGCAGCAGGATGCTAACCTGGCCCTGCCTCACCAGATGACCATCATAGAGTGTCTGGACCACTCTGACATCATCATTAAGCGTGAGGTGAGTCATCGTAGTGTCTGGACCACTCTGACATCATCATTAAGCGCGAGGTGAGTGAGGCAGGATATACCATGGTGTGGCAGGGCTTTGGCATTTATTGTACTCATAGGTGGGGTTGCAAAATTCTTAAAATTTTTCCCCAAAGTTCCCAGGTTTTCCAGAGATCTCAGTTGGAGGATTCCCAGAATAAGTAGGGAGGGAACTTGGAATCCTCCTACCGGGATTTATGGAAAAATCTGGGAAATTTGGTAACGTTTCCAGAATTTGACAACCCTTCTTGACCTGTCAATCAATATGCCCCTCCCCCTCTCCCCAACAGACACTGGAGTTACTCTTCCGCATCACCAATGCCCAGAACGTTACAGTGATTGTCGAGAAGATGCTTGAGTTCCTCAGGATGACCAGTGACGACTACAGCACTATAGACCTAGTGGGGAAAGTAGCAGAACTAGCTGAAAAATATCCTTTCATTGTTGAGTCTTTTGGAGCTGTGGGCATCATGCTATGGAAATGGGTTTACTTAGGATTAGCTAGTTGCTACAATCAAAGGCTTTTATTATATGTCTATTGGTTTCTCTCTGCTGATTGGCCAAGAATTTTGTTATCAGTGAGATCTGGAGAAACCTAGAACGTCTGGACCTGAGACTATGATGATAATGGGATTTATTTATTTATTTATTTATTGTTGTTGTAATTTTACCCACTTTTTCTCCCCAATTTCATTATATCCAATTACGATCTTGTCTCATCGCTGCAACTCCCCAACGGGCTCGGGAGAGGCGAAGGTCGAGTCACGCGTCCCCCGAAACATGACCCGCCAAGCCCGCGCTTCTCAACACCCGCTCGCTTAACCTGGAAGCCAGCCGCACCAATGTGTTGGAGGAAAAACACCATTCAACTGACGACCGAAGTCAGCTTGCAGGCGCCCGGCCCGCCACAAGGAGTCGCTAGAGCGCGACGAGCCAAGTAAAGCACCCTACGCCAAACCCTCCCCTAACCCAGGATCGAACCCCAGGCTGTAGTGACACCGCAACACTGCGATGCAGTGCCTTTAAACCGCTGCGCCACTCGGGAGGCCAGTTTGTATCTGTTCTGTTGCTTTTTCATTCATGGCACCAATCCCAATGGTCTGTTGTTCCTATAAACACCCTACGTATGCCCCAGACAATGGCTGGTTCATCCAGACTATGAACTCGGTGTTCTCTCTGGGGGGAGACGTGATGCAGCCTGACATCCCTAACAACTTCCTCAGATTACTGGCTGATGGTAAGTAAACCAATGGACACCCTGAACCTTCCTCAGACTATTAACTGATGGTAAGTAAACCAATGGACACGCTGAACCTTCCTCAGACTATTAACGGATGGTAAGTAAACCAATGGACACCCTGAACCTTCCTCAGACTATTAACTGATGGTAAGTAAACCAATGGTGTTTTCAGATGAATGGTGTTTTCAGATGTTACTAGTGGTCGACATTAATTCCATTTATGTCAGGTTGGGGTCAAGTCCATTTCAATTCAGTGAATTCAGGAAGCAAACTGACATTTTTTTACATTTTTCACATAAAAACATTTAGGGAAATTATTATTAAAATGTGAGTTTACTTCCCAAATTGACTCAATTGAATGGAATTGACCCCATCCGTGGTTTACATGCAGTAATTGATTCCAGGCCTCTGCTGCTCCAGGTGTTGATAGTGTGGAGGACAGGCGGATGAGGCTGTTTGCTGTGGACTCCTACGTGTCCTTGCTACAGGGAGAGACGGCCCAGCTGCCCCAACGCTTCCTACAGGTCATCAGCTGGGTCCGTACACTGTCCTGGATGCTGCTAAAATGATTGAACTCTGTTTCCAGTTTCAATGGAAGACCTTTTTAAAGAGGCATTTTGGTTGTTTTATTAAATGAATGTGATTGTTCCTGATGAATAATTCATTCCTACATTCTGACATCAACGTCCTCCATTCAAATAGACCTACCCCAAAACCAAAGAAATCTAACTTCCTGATCACCTCTATGGTTTTCCCTGATCTCTTCTTTTTTTTTTTTTTTACTGTAGGTGCTGGGTGAGTATTCTCACCTGAGAGAGGAGCAGGACTCAGGCACAATAATGAGACTGCTGGCCAGACTTCTGGACCAGAGAAACACCTCCACTGAGACCAGGAGCTGGGTACTGGGAGCCATGACCAAGCTGTGCTCCAACCCAGTGTCTGTGGCCCTGGCCAGGGATGTGTGTGAGAGGTACTTGGCATTCCCTGGGTTACCCTGGGTTACCAGTCTGTTTGTGCTAACATTCCACACCTTGTACTCCGTGTCATATGCCAAACATATATATATTTTTTACATTTTAGTAATTTAGCAGCCGCTCTTATCCAGAGCGACTTACAGGCGTAATTAGGGTTAAGTGCCTTGCTCAAGGGCACATCAACAGATTTTTCACCTTGTCGGCTCAGGGATTCGAACCAGCAACCTTTCGGTTACTGGCCCAACGCTCTAATTGCTAGGCTACCTGCCACCCCTGTATGACACAGAGTTGGACTGGGATGTTAGCACAAAACCAGTCTGGATTCCAGGCTACTCTCCTACGCTCACACTTCTCACTAGCTGGTTTTGCTAGTAGTGGCTCTTCTGAAGACGTTTTCTTCTTGCAATGACTGTGATATGTGTGTTTTTTTCTTTTTAACCTGCTTTAGGTGAACTAAATGACTAAGTCACTCTGTAATTTCACGTAAATGTAGGTACTCTGGGTCTCTGAATACGGTGCTCCGGCAGAGGGCCCAGGAACTGATGATCCTTAGCCAGGATACAGAGCTCCGAGCCAGGGTACTGCCAGCCGAGGGCAGGCTAGAACACCTGGAGGTACAACGCCATCTATTGGCCCAACTTGTACTGCTACACCACAGAACGTCATCGGCTCTAAAAACAAAATGTTTATCTTACATTTGACATTTTGACATTTTAGTCATTTAGCAGACGCTCTTATCCAGAGCGACTGACAGTTAGTGAGTGCGTACATTTTTCATACTGGCCCCCTTTTCTCTTTATCTTTTATTTAAACTTTATTCAACCAGGAAGTCTCTCTGGCCAAGAACAGACAATCCCAAAGTATTGAACGACTTTAATATTTGCAGTTGCTCTAACCATTTCCTGTCTTGAGTTGGCTGTGGTGTTTGTTTCATTCCTCAGGTAGACTCGTCCCTGTCCTTCCTGGATGGCTTTGTGTCTGAGGCGTTGGCTGCTGGGGCAGCTCCTTACAAATCTCCCCACCAGCGGCAGGAGGACCTGGCCCAGGAGAAAGGTAACAAGACGTGACGACCACCGCTTAGGGTTTTTTTTTTACTGGGAAAAACACGTCTAATTTATTTACGCTTTTTATCATTACTTCCTGTGATCACATGTAGGTAAAATGACTGAATGACTTGTAAGTCGCTTTGGAAAAAGCTGCTAAATGGTATATTATCAATAGTCTGATGCCGTTGTCTTTCGTTTTTTTTGACACAAAAGACATTGCCCTACCCAGACACTTCAAATATAGTTAATTTGACTCTCTACCTATTCATTGTTTTTTTTTTTTTTTTTTAACATGGCTGCTGTATGACTTCTCTTTTGGGATAAATAAAGTGTCTTCCTCATCTCTTTCCCAGCTCTGACCCTGGAGCCCTATGGTCTGTCCCTGCCGGTCGGTCTGTCCTCCTGCAGCGTCACAGACCGACTGACCGACGGACTTTCTCCTACTCTACTCTCCATGAGCTCAGGCCTGTCTGGGAACGGCACCGAGCTATCTCACGGAGGAGGGTATGTTCTCATCACTCTCTCAGTGTGACTAATGATGGGGAAGACAACTGAATTTTGCTTCAACTGTGCCCAAAAAAAAAAAAAAAAAATACACAAGTCTCTATGGTTGTCAGTGTTTTAGCTCAGACTGACTAACTCACCACTGGTAGTTTGGGGTTTTGTTGAAACCAAATTCAGGGTTATATTAGTACTCCATGTTACTTATATAAACCAAGAAGTAGCATATAAACTGAGTGTACAAAACAATTAAGGACACCTTCCTAATTTTTTTTAATGATTTTATTTTGTATTTAACCTTTATTTAACCAGGTAAGACCCATTTTTGAGGTTAAAAACCTATTTTGCGAGGGCGACCTGGCAAGAAGACAAAACAGGGAAACAGCAGCGCATGTACATAACATATTACGGAAAAATACAAAATACACACAAAAGACAAAGTTGTCACAAGTTCCAGATACAACTGAAGATAATAGTATAAAGTAATCCTTCTTCCCCATAAAAAAATAAATTAAAAAAAAGGTGGTTGTCCAAATCCTTCTATTATAAGTTGAATGCACCAATTTGTAAGTCGCTCTGGGTAAGAGCGTCTGCTAAATGACGTAAATGTGAGATTAGAAAAAACTGCAGCTGTCACAAACGGTGTCGTCGATCAGAGTCTTAAAAAACAGGCGAGGACACTAACTCCCCGAACTTTAATATCTTTTGAAGCATGCTCCAGGATGAAGGGGCATTATGGGGAAAAATATTATTTCCCCCCATCTCAGTTCTAGCCTTAGGAACAGACAAGGACAGCAGCGACTGTGAACGAAGGCTGTATTGAGTGACTGATCTGGTCAGTAAGGAACAGAGATACAAAGGGAGTTGTCCAATTTAATGCTTTGTACACAAATATTGAGTTGCACCCCCCTTTTGCCCTCAGAACAGCCTCAATTCGTCGGGGCGTGTGGGCTCTACAAGGTGTCGAAACCGTTCCACAGGGACGCTGGCCCATGTTGACCGCAGTGCTTCCCACAGATGTATCAAGTCTGGATGTCCTTTGGGTGGTGGACCATTCTTAATACACACAGGAAACTGTTGAGTGTGGAAAAACCCTGGCTCCTACTACCATACCCCCGTTCAAAGGCACTTCAATCTTTTGTCTTGCCCATTCACCCTCTCTCTGAATAGCACACATACACAATCCATGTCTCAATTGTCTCCAGGCTTAAAAATCCTTCTTTAACCTGTCTCCTCCCCTTCATCTACACTGATTGAAGTGGATTTAACAAGTGACATCAAAAAGGGATCATAGCTTTCACTTGGATTCACCTGGTCAGTCTATGTCATGGAAAGAGCAGGTGTTCTTAATGTTTTGTACACTCAGTTAGGGCTGTGGCGGTCATTTACATTTTATCAGCCGGTTATTGACGGCCGGTCTCACAGTAATTGACTGTTAATTAATGTTTAGTATCTCCAGGCCCCCACAAGCCATTGATGCGCACCTTTTTTTTTTTTTTTTTTTTAAGTATAATAAATCCATTTAATATACACCACCACAATAAATCCATTATTTATTTTAGGCAGGTCTAAAGAAACATTATGATATGAAGAAAATGTATTTCAGAAGACCGGAATATGAGTTGGCCCACCGTATGTTATCTGGCTATGCTCCACACCGTAGGCTGTAGACAAGATATGCTTACAAGTCCCCTGCCATTTATTTTATATTATATGATTTTATAGTAAGAAGAATATAATTGAACTTAGCTGAATGAAATGGAAAGAATACTTTTTCCCATTTAAGGAGCGAGTGCACATATGAAGTGGATATGTTAAAGTAAAAGTGATCAGGTCCTATACGCTAGATTTAGTTATTTGGTAAATGTAGTTGTGAATGATACAATTATCAGAATCTCTTTTAGAAATCAAAACATATATGGGCAGCATGATGCGACTATAGGATATTGATGATTTTGAGAAAGTTGCCAAAAAAAAAAAAAAGCTTGCGCTCTGATCCTTGCCTCAGGCTACACACCCTGTTCTCTCGTCAAGTGATCATATTTTCACCCATCAGACTATTCTCAATGTAATCTTGGTCTTTACTAATATGTCAAATTAGTTTAGATTTTAGGAATGGCCCATTTTATCAAATGGGTGGGAACAGCGGCAGGGAAAAAGACGTCATCTGTATGTACTGGAATAGTGAATGGAGGCATCGCTCTTTCCTCCCGCCGGTCCATCTTTCAATGACGATGGGTAGGCTACATTTGGTTTTATAGCGGAGCATGTGATTAATATGAGCTGCTGAGAAATACATATAACAACACTTATTTCACTCCACACATCAAGAACTGTTTGAGGAATATGCTCTCATTGCCCCGACCAGGTGATATTCCACCCAGTACTCTGTATGCCATGGGCTCTCCAACCCTCTTCCTCCAGCTACCCAGTACTCTGTATGCCGTGGGTTCTCCAACCCTGTTCCTCCAGCTACCCAGTACTCTGTATGCCATGGGGCTCTCCAACCCTGTTCCTCCAGCTACCCAGTACTCTGTATGCCATGGGCTCTCCAACCCTGTTCCTCCAGCTACCCAGTACTCTGTATGCCATGGGCTCTCCAACCCTGTTCCTTCAGCTACCCAGTACTCTGTATGCCGTGGGCTCTCCAACCCTGTTCCTGCAGCTACCCAGTACTCTGTATGCCATGGGCTCTCCAACCCTGTTCCTCCAGCTACCCAGTACTCTGTATGCCATGGGCTCTCCAACCCTGTTCCTGCAGCTACCCAGTACTCTGTATGCCATGGGCTCTCCAACCCTGTTCCTTCAGCTACACAGTACTCTGTATGCCGTGGGCTCTCCAACCCTGTTCCATCAGCTACCCAGTACTCTGTATGCCGTGGGCTCTCCAACCCTGTTCCTCCAGCTACCCAGTACTCTGTATACCATGGGCTCTCCAACCCTGTTCCATTAGCTACCCAGTACTCTGTATGCCATGGGCTCTCCAACCCTGTTCCTTCAGCTACACAGTACTCTGTATGCCGTGGGCTCTCCAACCCTGTTCCTGCAGCTACCCAGTACTCTGTATGCCATGGGCTCTCCAACCCTGTTCCTTCAGCTACACAGTACTCTGTATGCCATGGGCTCTCCAACCCTGTTCCTTCAGCTACACAGTACTCTGTATGCCGTGGGCTCTCCAACCCTGTTCCTCCAGCTACCCAGTACTCTGTATGCCATGGGCTCTCCAACCCTGTTCCATTAGCTACCCAGTACTCTGTATGCCATGGGCTCTCCAACCCTGTTCCTCCAGCTACCCAGTACTCTGTATGCCATGGGCTCTCCAACCCTGTTCCTTCAGCTACCCAGTACTCTGTATGCCATGGGCTCTCCAACCCTGTTCCTCCAGCTACCCAGTACTCTGTATGCCATGGGCTCTCCAACCCTGTTCCTTCAGCTACCCAGTACTCTGTATGCCGTGGGCTCTCCAACCCTGTTCCTTCAGCTACCACCCTGTTCCTTCAGCTACCCAGTACTCTGTATGCCGTGGGCTCTCCAACCCTGTTCCTGCACCTACCCAGTACTCTGTATGCCGTGGGCTCTCCAACCCTGTTCCTGCAGCTACCCAGTACTCTGTATGCCATGGGCTCTCCAACCCTGTTCCTCCAGCTACCCAGTACTCTGTATGCCATGGGCTCTCCAACCCTGTTCCTTCAGCTACCCAGTACTCTGTATGCCGTGGGCTCTCCAACCCTGTTCCTGCAGCTACCCAGTACTCTGTATGCCATGGGCTCTCCAACCCTGTTCCATCAGCTACCCAGTACTCTGTATGCCATGGGCTCTCCAACCCTGTTCCTTCAGCTACCCAGTACTCTGTATGCCGTGGGCTCTCCAACCCTGGGCGGCAGGTGGCTTAGTGGTTAAGAGCGTTGTGTCAGTAACCGAAAGGTTGCTGGTTCTAATCCCCGAGCCGACTAGGTGAAAAATCTGTCGATGTGCCCTTGAGCAAGGCACTTAACCCTAATTGCTTCTGTAAGTCGCTCTGGATAAGAGCGTCTGCTAAATGACTAAAATGTAAAAATGTAAAAAATTTACTCTGTATGCCGTGGGCTCTCCAACCCTGTTCCGTCCAGCTACCCAGTACTCTGTATGCCATGGGCTCTCCAACCCTGTTCCTCCAGCTACCCAGTACTCTGTATGCCATGGGCTCTCCAACCCTGTTCCTCCAGCTACCCAGTACTCTGTATGCCATGGGCTCTCCAACCCTGTTCCTGCAGCTACCCAGTACTCTGTATGCCGTGGGCTCTCCAACCCTGTTCCTGCAGCTACCCAGTACTCTGTATGCCATGGGCTCTCCAACCCTGTTCCTTCAGCTACCCAGTACTCTGTATGCCATGGGCTCTCCAACCCTGTTCCTCCAGCTACCCAGTACTCTGTATGCCGTGAGCTCTCCAACCCTGTTCCTGCACCTACCCAGTACTCTGTATGCCGTGGGCTCTCCAACCCTGTTCCTGCAGCTACCCAGTACTCTGTATGCCGTGGGCTCTCCAACCCTGTTCCTTCAGCTACCCAGTACTCTGTATGCCGTGGGCTCTCCAACCCTGTTCCTGCAGCTACCCAGTACTCTGTATGCCATGGGCTCTCCAACCCTGTTCCATCAGCTACCCAGTACTCTGTATGCCATGGGCTCTCCAACCCTGTTCCTTCAGCTACCCAGTACTCTGTATGCCGTGGGCTCTCCAACCCTGGGCGGCAGGTGGCTTAGTGGTTAAGAGCGTTGTGTCAGTAACCGAAAGGTTGCTGGTTCTAATCCCCGAGCCGACTAGGTGAAAAATCTGTCTGTGCCCTTGAGCAAGGCACTTAACCCTAATTGCTTCTGTAAGTCGCTCTGGATAAGAGCGTCTGCTAAATGACTAAAATGTAAAAATGTAAAAAATGTACTCTGTATGCCGTGGGCTCTCCAACCCTGTTCCTGCAGCTACCCAGTACTCTGTATGCCATGGGCTCTCCAACCCTGTTCCTGCAGCTACCCATTACTCTGTATGCCATGGGCTCTCCAACCCTGTTCCTCCAGCTACCCAGTACTCTGTATGCCGTGGGCTCTCCAACCCTGTTCCTCCAGCTACCCAGTACTCTGTATGCCATGGGCTCTCCAACTCTGTTCCATCAGCTACCCATTACTCTGTATGCCGTGGGCTCTCCAACCCTGTTCCTCCAGCTACCCAGTACTCTGTATGCCATGGGCTCTCCAACCCTGTTCCTCCAGCTACCCAGTACTCTGTATGCCGTGGGCTCTCCAACCCTGTTCCTCCAGCTACCCAGTACTCTGTATGCCATGGGCTCTCCATAGCTACCCAGTACTTGTATGCCATGGGCTCTCCAACCCTGTTCCTCCAGCTACCCAGTACTCTGTATGCCATGGGCTCTCCAACCCTGTTCCTCCAGCTACCCAGTACTCTGTATGCCATGGGCTCTCCAACCCTGTTCCTGCAGCTACCCAGTACTCTGTATGCCATGGGCTCTCCAACCCTGTTCCTCCAGCTACCCAGTACTCTGTATGCCATGGGCTCTCCAACCCTGTTCCATCAGCTACCCAGTACTCTGTATGCCATGGGCTCTCCAACCCTGTTCCTTCAGCTACCCAGTACTCTGTATGCCGTGGGCTCTCCAACCCTGTTCCTTCAGCTACCCAGTGCTTAACTTGGGAAACGTCGATATTAACATGTTTTCGCAACTAAACATGTTTCACTAAACTGTTGACAGCCCGTCTGTCTGCGCGCTCTAGAAAGGAATGAAAGGGAGAGAGGAGGAGATGGAAACGCACGGTGGTGAGATAATCTGTAGCTAAATGTAATGTGTCAGCCGATTCATTATAAAAACAATCCCTATTACTAGGCTATTCCAAATCAAATACAAATTCACTATTGTAGGCTAACCGTAAGCAGCCCTGCACAATCAATGAACCAACAGCATGGCCTAGGCCGATACGTTCTCTCCCAGACGCATGGATAGACATTTTGGAGCGTAGCAGAAGGTAACCAGGCCATCCATTATGCATAATAATACAGTCCACACTCAAAATATGATTACTATAATGTGTTTAATTTGAGAGTATAGGCTAGACTAATGATGTACCAAAGACATCTTAAATCAGTTTTGTTTGATGTTTTTCTGCCATGTATAATATCTGGTAGGATATGTATTGTATGACGGCACAATCATAATATTCATGCTTGGGCTCAAGCCTATGCGTAAGCTTTAATATGCGTATGGGTGTTTTTGAATGAATCAGCACCTTTTAGAAAGAGCTGTCCATTGTTAGGCTTTGAAACAACAACCATGTTTTTACACGGTTTCAACCTGCTGTTGAACTTCTTTCTTCAAATTGATCATCACAGTGAGGTGAGTTTTAAAAGTAAGGTAGGCTTTCTGTTTTGATGATAAGTGTTTGATGTGATTTTCGATTGTATTTTCATGAATGTCAGAGTGGTTAGAGGGACAATAGAGCCCTGAGTACCAGGCAGTTAGAGCCCTGAGTACCAGGCCATTAGAGCCCTGAGTACCAGGCCATTAGAGCCCTGAGTACCAGGCCATTAGAGCCCCTGAGTACCAGGCCATTAGAGCCCCTGAGTACCAGGCCATTAGAGCCCCTGAGTACCAGGCCATTAGAGCCCCTGAGTACCAGGCCATTAGAGCCCCTGAGTACCAGGCCATTAGAGCCCTGAGTACCAGGCCATTAGAGCCCTGAGTACCAGGCCATTAGAGCCCTGAGTACCAGGCCATTAGGACCTGATGGTCGTTAGCAAGTTGGGTACTACCAACGCAGAGTGCAAAAATGGAGATTACCATGACTCGGCGGTCATGGGGAATTTTACTGCGGTCATGATTCATGTTTGGCGGTAATACAGTCACTGCAACAGCCCTAGACTCGGTGTATAATGAGAACAGTATTGTTCCGAGAACAGAACCTTGAGGAATTTAAACCAGACTGTTGACATGTTCTTTGATATATATATATATATATATATATATATATATATATATATATATAATCTTGTAGAAGACCCAGATTAGTATCCCAATGTTATTTCAGCTCTACCACTCTGAAGTTGGATGGGGTGAAGAGGGTGTGGGGGAAGGAGGGTTACCTGGCCCAGCAGCAGAGTGTAGAAGACGCCCCAACCCCCCCAGTGCAGCTGCCCAGTCCCCTGCTGTCCCCCCAGAGGCCACCTTCCCAGACACAGACGCCTGAGCCTGACCAGGAGAAACAACAGCTGGCCTCGTCACTCTTCGTTGGCCTGGGGTCCCTCAACTCTGTGTGTCTGGTGAGATTACCTTCTACTGTTTGTTCATCAAGCATGTCAATCAAATGTATTTCAGGCTTTGTTTAAACCCTTTTACATCAATAGTTGTCAAAGTGCAGTAACCCGGCCTAGACTTCAAAGCAGAAACATACAGGTGCTTTAGCTATCAGCTCACAGCTTTTACTGTTAGCTATCAGCTCACAGCTTTTACTGTTAGCTATCAGCTCACAGCTTTTACTGTTAGCTATCAGCTCACAGCGGGTACTGTTAGCTATCAGCTCACAGCGGGTACTGTTAGCTATCAGCTCACAGTGGGTACTGTTCGATATCAGCTGGTACTGTCCCCAACAGATGGGCAGAGCCGAGCCGGCGCCCCAACACTTCAGAAGGAAACCCAGAGGTGGGTCATCAGGCGCCAGCGAACGCTCCTCTGACTCCTCCCATTCGTCTCGCAGCGCTGCCGTGGACAACCTGCTGCTCAGCAACCTGCTGGACTCGACCACTGTGGCCTCAGAAGGGGGTGCTACCACCACCACACCTCAACAGACCTCCCAGAGAACACTGGACCATACCACGAGCAACGGTAGCCCCCATGTAGAGGGGAAGGAGGAGGGAGTAGCAGCAGGAGGATCTCTCTCTCTGATCAGGGGCATGGTGGCTGTTGTACTGCCCACACACACAGAGACAGACCCACAATCAGATCTACACCCAGCCCCTCACCCAGCTCCAGCCCCAGAGAGACCCGGGGACCTCCCTCTCACCTCCCACCTGCCAGCAGAGCTCTCTGGGCTGGCCCGCTCTGAGCTCACCCCCCTCTGCTCGGACCAGGACCCCAGCCTGGCTCTGTCAGCCTGTAGAGTGTATAAAGAGGACGCCTTAGTGGTGCTGGTCTTCATCGTCAACAACACTAACTCAACACTCCACCAGATGGCGCTGCAGCTCACCTGCAAAGAACTGGAGGTATATTTTCAGACAGAACTTAACAACAAAGTTGCCTTGTTTTTCAGAAATCCTGGTTGGAGGATCCCGGAACCAAGACAGAAAAACCAGGGGATCCTCCAAACCGGGATTTAGAAAAACCAGGGATCTTTGGCAAAGTTTCAGGAATTTTGCAGCCCTAATTCAAACTGGTGTCTATCATGTTGTTTCCCCCCTCAGATCTCCTGTATCTCAGGCAGTCCGTTAAAGGAGGTTAAGGGTCACAGTGTGTCGGTTTGTCTGCACACGGTTGTCATGAAGAGAGCCTCAGTCCAGGTGGAGCTGGCAGGGCTGCTGTCCTACCAGAGACCCTTGGGCCAGCCTCGGGCAGCACAGTTCTCACTGAGCCTCTCCCTGAAACACTTCATCAGGTAAAACCTCCTGCTATCTGTAACTGGCAGCGCTGGTCTTACGGGTCACCCTGAATCCTAATGTCTCTCTTGGACAGAGTACGTAAAACATAAATGGTACCGTACATCTGTCATGATCCAACGGAAAAAAAGTACGAAAAAAATGTAACTAACTGTAAGTCGCTCTGGATAAGAGCGTCTGCTAAATGACTAAAATGTCAAATGTAACGACAGGATGCGTGAGAAAAAGGAGCAGCCTTAGTTCCGGTGCTTTGGACAAATCACGATTTCGCAGGGGTTAGCGTCTTTTGAATTTCGGAAAGCGGAGGGGATATATTTGGCCAATAGACTTGTCCGTAACTTGCAAAGAGAGAGGGTGGAGCTCATAGTTCCGGTTCCCCTCCTAGTTCTATCTCCTCTATTAACACATATGGACCCAGAACGTAAAACGAGCATCTGAATAATGACATAAGACTTTAGTTCTGGGTTAACTGAGATGACCTGAATCCAAATACAACTCCTACCCCTACTTCATAGGCACTAGTGTAGATCTGAGAGCGTAAACAATATGGCAGCAATTCCATCTGGCCAATCATACGGCGAGATGGAGATGGAGCCACCACCCTAATGCTTACGTCCAATGTTCTCAGCTCTACACCTAGTGCCTATGGGGTAAGGGCTAGGGGTTGATTTGGGGGGATTCAGGGATCCTCCGTTAGCCAATACTACTTCCTGTGTGTGCAGACTGTTGACATTCTACTTCCTGTTTGTCTTTTTATGCAGGCCGCTGACTGTGTCCACAGGGGAGTATGGGAAAATGTGGTTGTCTTTCTCTCATGACTTGAAGCAGAACCTTCGACTGGTAACAACAGAACACCAAGAACCTCTGACGGCCACACTGGACGCACTGAAGAGCAAACTACACCTCCACATTGTCGACATCATAGGTCAGCAGGTGTTTTTAGTTCTGCCTGTCACAGTCTCATATGTCTTAATGCTTTAACCCAGCCCTGACCATTTATAAAATATAATGATCATCAAAATACTGTTGTACATCTTACTGTCGTAACTGTTGTCAATACCACTTCCTCATTAAGTGGGTAATGGAAGTTATTACTTTTTGACCTTTTTATCCTTTCCCCTTAGGGTCAGAGGGCATCGTGGCGTGCCGGCTGCTCCAGGGGGAAGGTCACGGTCAGCCGTGTCTGCTTCACTGTCGTGTCCACGCCGACACTCTGGCCGTGTGGCTGCGCTCCCCTGTCCCTGAGCTGCCGGACTCCCTCCTCTACCACTGTCAGAAAGCCCTGACGGAGACCTGAGCCGGGCCGTGTCTCATTCCAGAAAGATGTTCCACTTTTCCTTCTGCCCTCGTTCACCTCACTGGTCAAACATGGCTTGATCTGTTTTTTTTTTGTAAGTAATATTGGCAGCGACTAAGGATGCGTTTAGACAGGCAGCCCAATTCTGATAAAAAAAAATTTCACTGATCAGATTTTTTTTTTTTCCTGATCTGATGTGAAAAGATCTGATGTGATTGGTCAAAAAGACCAATTAGTGGAAAAAAATATCAGAATTGGGCTGCCTGTCTAAACGCAGCCTGTCTATTTGGTTTTATACCTGCCCAGTTGTTTGTCTCATCGGTAAAGGAGAGTCAACAAGGAGGAAGGGGAGGAAACCACTTCATGGAATGAAGTACAGCCCTGAGCTCACTGGCCCACAGCACCACCACTGCAGGGCCAACTGAAGAGGTTCCACAGAATCTCCTCGTTGAAGCACAGAGACAGAAGGAACCAGTGGAAAGCAGCTGACATTATGTGTCCTTGTCTTATTTTTTATTATTTTTTTTCCGGCTGTGATTTCACGTGGTTAAATTATTTTTTATTTTTTATGCTCATGTATGAATTTATTGTATTTTTTTAAACTGGAACAACTAATTGTTCCTATCGCTTCACTTAGCTCTTTGTAAAAGCGTGAGCTGTAAACCTCAGAAGGAACCAGTGTAAAGCATGCTGTGTGTGTAAGACACGTTTAGGAAGTAAACACGTATTAAATGGGCAGTTCAGTTGTCTCTCAGTTCTACATGCTTTGACTTGAATAAGCATCTCCAGAGAGCTTCCCTGTGTGTCTGTGTGAGAACAAAGCATAGGAAGGCTAGAAGTCATGTGATTCACGGCCATGTTTCCCATTTGGTATTTTATGTACTTATTGGTCTCGTTGAATGTTGGGTAGGTGTAGCTATGGCACTAGTTGAACTGGTTTTTGAATAGCACACAGTTAAGCTTCAGCAGTTAAATGAATGACATGATCAATATTCAAAAAGGTATTATCAAGGATGAAATGTTTCAGTTTAACAGTACATGTTATACTGAACTGTCGTCCTGTCGTTGTCCTGCATGTTACGTTCTCCAGATGCTGCATCTATAGTTATTAAATGATCCACTAACAGTATGCATTTGATTGATTTTTCTAATTCACAGGCAAGAGCTGAAACCCTGGAGTCTTCAATGATTATATTTATAACAATGCAGCATTTCAAACGTATTTATATATATAAATATTATATATATTATATAATATATATATATATATATATATATATATATATATATATATATATATATATATATATATATATATATATATATATATATTGTTGTAAAATATCTGGTTATCTTGTAAAATATATGGTTATCTTGTAAAATATATGGTTATCTTGTAACATACAAGATAAAGAGCTTTAAGTCAAAATGTTTTGCTTCATGTGTTCCCCTCAGATATCTTCATGTGTTCCCCTCAGATATCTTCATGTGTTCCCCTCAGATATCGGTCCTCAAGCAGTTTGTCTAATGTTAATCTATACCACTACCCACTTCCTCCTCAAACTCGCTGTGCGCCATAACCAGGGGGACGAGAGAGGTTTAGCCTTTTTTCGTTTGTAAAAGCTTGTGTGCTAAAAGTGGAGAATTGAATGGAACTGAAGAATTGTATGTCATTTGAACGCTAACACAAAGACAACCAACCAAACACCTTATGTTCTGATGCCAAGGAGACATGTTCATTTGTGCCTTTAGTACAAAGAGACCTGTGCACTTCAGTGCCTGTCTGCAGTTCAGTTCTGCTTACTTCAGTTAATAAACCTGGCATTTTAAAGCTTTTACTTGTCTATTTGGGTAATCATTCATTACCTTGAACATGCAACACCGGTAACCATGTGAAAATAATTTTAACATTCAAGACTTGATGATAACACTTGCATAAACAATTGTTTGTATCATGTGCATAACTACTGTAACCATTTACTCAATAAAATAAGAATTGTGTATAAATTATCTTTGTAAAACATTTTTATGACATGGTTTTAAAAACAACCTAGAAATTGTAATTTTACAATAACAAAAAGTGTGCGTGCTTAAGCTGTGAAAGTATTTTTATGGTAGTTGAAGTTTAAAAGTAAAAAGCATACAGACTAGTGTTGAAAAATGTGGTGTAGTGTTGCAGTAATGTATTACAGGTGTGGGATAGTAGCCTTTAAACAGTAGAGTAGTGACTGTATCTCCGTGTTACCTGGTCCCATATTTTTGTTGTTTGTGCAAAATACTACAGGTAGGCCTAATTTAATCAACCAACCTGTCGACAGCTGTGACCTTGTGAAGGAAGTGAGAAGTGATCACTTAATTTCACTGTTACTGTCATTACAACAGGTTTGACATTTGCTGTCATATGCTAAAAATTACACTTCCGGATTCCATCAAAGTGCTGGTAAATTGCTTTGAGGAGTTCTGAATGGATAGCACAGACGTTTCTCATCAACCATGACTTGTTCAACTCGGATTTCTTAACTTCTTGCTTTAGACTGGGTCTCCTGAGGCTATTCTAAAAATGCTGAGCAAGTTTGACGAGAAAGCACGAAATCCAAAGCCACAGTTTATAATAATATAATATGCCATTTAGCAGACGCTTTTATTCAAAGCGTCTTACAGTCATGCGTGCATACATTTTTGCGTATGGGTGGTCCCGGGGATCGAACCCACTACCTTGGCGTTACAAGCGCCGTGCTCTACCAGCTGAGCTACAGAGGACGACGTTTACGTATAACTTTACGTACTTTCACTTTACGTATCATAAAACAGTCAATTACTGTGCTTCATCATCTTTACTTTCATAATTGCTGATTCCTATAAAAGTATTCAACCTGTAAATAAACGATACAGGCCCAGGGGTTCCGACCAGGTTCCGACACATCCACCACAGTCTTCACACCTTAAGAAACTCAATGGATCTCTGGTGCCACCAGGTGGCCATTATAGAGTACTCCAGTTCCCTTGTGGCAGCAGTGCTACCAAATGTATTTTATGTAAGGTAACATTTCTGGCAATACAATTATCTCCAAATTTCACAGAATGTGTACTTCTCTTTTCCCCTGGCTTATTTGGTAGTTTATTCTTTCAATTGAGCTCTTAATCTGATTTTATTTATACAACGCTTTCTCTACTGTCTGATTGGCGGGAGGATGACCACGTGACTTTGAAATCTACTAATTTGTTCGTTTGTTACCGTCAAAAGTGGTTATTTCCGATGTTGATCAACTCCCAATCTACGCCATCAATGTTTTTTAAACATTAGCTTTGCTATTTGGTGGAAAGCAAACAGAGCATATTTTGCAAAGTTGAATTGCAATTATAAACCCAGTCAGTAGTTTATGGGTATTGAAATAACAAGTCAATATCGCAAACAGGCCATTTATAACGGTTTGTAGTCTTAACATCTGGCACATAATAACAGTACAATTGCCAGAAAATAGCCTAACATTCTTTTTTTCCCTTTTTTTTTTCGTCCAAGTGTTTCTTGCAAAGAGATTTCGAGATCCTCTGTCCAACTTTCATCTCTCAAACTGTCTTGGCCGTGGTATATCAGACCGTATACCATGGGTATGACAAAACATTTATTTTTACTGTTCTAATTACATTGGTAACCCGTTTATAATAGCAATAAGGCACCTCAGGGGGTTTGTGGTATATGGCCAATATACTGTACCACCGCTAAGGGCTGTGTCCTAAGAAAAAACATAAAGTCCATTCAGTATGCATAATTACACCGTCCACACTCAAAGGTGATAACTATAATTAGTTTAATTTTCGAGTATAGGCTAGACTAATTATGTACCAAAGACATCTTAAATCTTTAAAAAATATATATATATTTCTGCCATGCGTAATATGCAGTAGGCTATGTATCGTATAACTAACTGCACAATAGTTATTTTAATTCAGGTTTTTTTTAGGCTTGGGCTCATATAAGCCTATGCTATGCATAATCTCTAATATTATAATATATATATATATATTATATAATCGCTTCTTGGCCTTTTGGCTAAGATCAAGATCGAGTGCAATACCCAGGCGATCCTGACGGTGGAGCGATGTCGTCATCGGCCACGTCACAGTCGGCAGCCGCTGGACTGAAGAACACGCTGCGTTTTCAATGGACTGGAAAATAAAGTTTGATGGAGAGATTTCGTTTTGGAAAGGACGTTCTTTTTGGACCTCTACGCCTGACAGCAGACGATGTGCACTGTCTGCAACAAAACACACCGGAGAAGTTCTACGATGTGTCTTTCTACACCATCACCAGGCTGGAGGAGGTGAGAGGGCTCTTCCGAGCGAACGCGACAGCACCCACCCTCAGTAGTTTTCAAGTTGAGTCCCTGTGCCGGCACAATCTGAGGGTGCTACCTGTCCCAGACCTGCTGTTTTCAACTCTTTAATGATCGGCTATGAAAAGCCAACTGAGAGACCTGAGCCCTAGGACCATACGTCGGGACTACCGGCCGTGGTGACTCCTTGCTGTCCCCAGTCCGCCTGGCCTTGCTGCTATTCCAGTTTCAACTGTTCTGCCTGCGGTTATGGAACCCCTACCTGTCCCAGACCTGCTGTTTTCAACTCTTAATGATCGGCTATGAAAAGCCAACTGAGATTTATTCCTGATTATTATTTGACCATGCTTGTCACTTATGAACATTTTTGAACATCTTGGCATGGTTCTGTTATAATCTCCACCCGGCACAGCCAGAAGAGGACTGGCCACCCCTCATAGCCTGGTTCCTCTCTAGGTTTCTTCCTAGGTTTTCGCCTTTCTAGGGAGTTTTTCCTAGCCACCGTGCTTCTACACCTGCATTACTAGCTGTTTGGGGTTTTAGGCTGGGTTTCTGTACAGCACTTCGAGATATTAGCTGATGTAAGAAGGGCTATATAAAATAAAATTGATTGATTGATTGATTGCTAACCGTGCACATGTTCAACCCCTGGGTCACTGAAGAAACGCTAGTGTGCTACCTCAGCCGGTACGTGACCATCTTGCCAGGAGTGAGCGATATTAAGGACGCCCTAGGCATCTGGACAGGGAAGAGGCAGTTTCGCGTGCTGCTAAAGGAAGACGAGAGCGGCCATGATGGCTACCTCCAT